TACATGTATATATGTGAATGTATTATTGTAACAAGACAAGTAGACTGGGTAATGAGACGTGGTAGAGCGTTCATCTTTCACTTTCATAAGAAGAAAAGGTGTGAAAACATTTAAACATCACTATCAGCAAGTTTACACAAAGCACACACACACATCAAAAAAGGAAATGTAAAACAACAATACTTGCATATAATAAACAGAATAGCCAAAAGCTGTCCATCAATCAATCACTTTAGAAAAACATACATTATATTGGGACATACCCTACCTCTATCGTATAGCGCTTTATTTTCGAGGAGCTAAGCTTTCGCTATTTTCGCGGTTAGCATGAAACTGCGAAATTAAAGATCCGCTAAAATTTCAATTGCCATTAAAGGTGTGGCACTAACATTGCGAATCCACAAAAATTATTTTCGTGAAAAATTGATTTTTATCAATCCGCGAAATTTTAGCTCCGCAAAATTAAAGCGCTATACGGTATCTCCTTCTCTCTCTCTCTCCCACTTACTCCTCATGCACTGTTAGTACCCTGTGTACTATTGGTATGTCTCTGTCCTTTACTTTGAATACAACAATCTCTCCAGACCTTATTGGATCCTCTTCATAATTTGTTAAAAAAAGAAGGTCACCTCTAAAAAATGCTGGCTCCATGCTACCACTAAAAAATTAATAATAGTAATAATAACTTTATAATTACCGCCCACACAGGTATGTATCAGAAAATGTAATAAAAATTTGGGGTGATTTCAGAGCCATTTTTTGGAAAAAAACCATGGGCTATAGCCTTGGGTATTTTAAAAAATTGACCTGTTTTTTAAACTTAAAAATTACCATCGTCAATCAAAAAAATTAATGTTTCCAAAATTGTCAAAATAAAATTCCCACCAAAATTAAAATGTTAATTCCTCATATCACCCAATGACATTACTTCCCATAATAAAAAAATTAAAATATAACAATAAAGACCAATATTCTAATTAAAGCCCAGCATTATTATTACCTCAATACGACTACAATAGGGCTCTCGCTACCAGTGACAACCATCAATCCTTTCCATATCATGAGAGCTGAGGACACTATCATTCCAAGACTAAGGAACTGATAGTATAGCTGTTCAAAAAAAGGAGGTCAGTATTCATTATAATCTCTTTTTCAATACCTGTCTTTTGTTAAGTTTTTTCAAATCACCCAAAATCCACTCAACGACCATGTTGCCCAAATTTTATTAAAGAAGGTGGGGATAGTTATTAATAAAGGCGGGTTTAAAGTTATTAAAACAGTCGTTGAAAGGTGTGGCTTATTTTTAATAACTAGTTTTGCGTGGGTTTTATAATTTTAATAAAAGGTGGGGCTTTTAAGGAAATTTCTATAAAACTGCTTTTTGCTCCATGAAAAGTCAATAAGAAGTTTACCAAAAATCATTTACTTTTTCAAGGAGTCTAAGCAGCTAATAGAAACAGTAAGCTGACCATATTCTTGTATATTACTAGTATATAAAATTTATTTTCTCTCTCTCTCTCTATCCTTTCTTGTCACAGATAAGCGGTAGAATGTCATCTGAATATCGAGTTGGTTCATCAACTGGCCACGTATTTAAACCTTCACTGCAAGACATCTCTTTAAAGAGGTACAAATATTAATAAAAATTGACATGTTGCATGTACATATACTGCTAATTAATGCAATAATAATAATTATTAATTATTAATGAATAACCCTATTACAATACTCACTATCTTATAAAATGCAGTGTTGTTATTTTTATGCTCCAAATAGACAGAAATACCGTGTACATGCAGTTCCTTGCTTTCATGTGATAGTGCTATTCCTGTTATTTTGTTATTAATAATTGTGTATGTATTAGTTAACCTCTTAGTCCCTTTGATGTATCAATTTACTACAAAATACAGTACAGTGTACATACACACACACACACACATACAGCTGCTAGCGTACAGCTGTCAGTGTAACATGATGATCCTATTGTGATGACTATAGTCCACTACTAGCAGGAAACATGTTGCTAATAATAATTATTGTAATTACTGTTAGATATGTAGAGGGAATTGAGGAGACTTCGAGTCTCTTTTATTTTGTTTTTTGATCTCCTGAAATATCCTATTTTTAGCTAGATTGGTCTTTGTAAATTTATTGTGATAAATGGAGTTCAGTAATTGTACATACATGTACATGTACATGTACTTGTAGCTGTTACTCCTGGAACATTTTGTAGTGTCTCAGTAGCTCATTAACAAGTCGGTTTGTTAATGTGAAGACTCAATGGTATCATGAAAAGGATACCTTTTAAGAGAGTGAAGTACGTGTACTGTACTACAGGTGGATAGGATCAATTTGGCAATCGGAGGTTCACTTGAACTTGTTTCACAGTCACTATAAAGCCTCCAATGATAATGATAATGTTGATATGGCCTGAGTGTTCATGCATACTTGTGTTAATGTCCATTAAGTATGGTATGTGTATTAGTGCATTAATGTTCCTATTGTTTTTATGAATATCTGATGTAATGGTAATGGGATGTTACACTATAGACTGACCTTACATTTTTAAGGGCAGAGTGTATATCTCTATGGAGAACTCCTTCTCCTCCTCCTACTACTACTTTTTGTGTAGGAGATTAATAAATAATAAATAAATAAGTAATAAATGTAATAATAATTAAGAGCATACCTGTACATGGTACTCCTAAATAAAAGTCTATTCTTTTTAATACTAATTTAATAAATAATGTTATAATATTTTATTTATTAAAGCCATTTACATGTAGTGCTATTAGTACAATATTTACCATCTACAGCTCTTGACATATTGAAAATAAACTTGTACTTCTATCTGTCACTGATAATGTTGTAATGTGTTGTATAATTGATGTCACATGTGTTTCATGTGTCAGGATACTAACAGGATACTCAGCCAGCAGTATGTGCATACACTGCTTCTTGTTCATGCTCTTTTTGGTGTAGGCCAGTTCCTTTTTAGATTCAGTGACATGTAATTGATATCTCCTGCCTTAGTGA